CCCGCCTGCCCCATGGATACGATCATCAACCTGCAGCTTTTTTGAACTTGTTTGGGAATTTTAGGGAGCACTGTGAACTCCTCCTCTGTGCGCTCCCTCTCCACTCCCCTTCCTTTTAAATCCTGGGATGAAATCTTAATTTCCCATGTAATGGAACTTGGAAATGGGGCCTTGGGGAAGTGATTCCTCAGGAGGGTGGAGCCCTTAGGAGAGGTATTAGTGCCCTGACTCCCCACAGAGCTCCCAGCCCCTTCTGCCTGTGAGAACACAGGAGACAGCCAGTCTGCAAACCAGAAACAAACCAGGAAGCCAGCCTTGCCAGCCACCAACTCTGCTATCCCCTGGAGCTTAGACTTCCTAGGCGTCAGACCTAGGAGAAATACATTTCTGACCTACACTGCAATGCATGTCGTGCAAAATGGCTTTTCTTGTTTGGCAGGAGGCCACGAGCAGCCACTGCAAGCAGTGCTGGTCACATCAGGAGCTGGGAAGATTCTAGGCCCTAGTGCTGGATGCCACCCGCTCCCCAGGGTGGGCACGTGCACCGGGACGCACAGGAGGGAGACAGCAGCCGAGCTTAGGAAAAAAGGAAACAGCATATTCATGCATGGCCTGTGCCTGCCTGCCATCTACCCACATCTGCCTGTGGCTGTGGAGAGTAGCAGGAGGTGTGGGAAGCTCCAGCCTCCAGTGTGATGATGACGCAGCGGGTCCTTCGGGAGGTAATTAGGGGGTGCTGGATACTGGGGGACTCTGACTCCCATCTTAAATGCTCTCACTACACTGTAGCCACATGTGGCTCTGGCCCGGGGAGGGGGCACAGTCGGTCACCATGCTGCGTTCATTCTGTGCCCGGATGGGCCCGTCAGCGAGATAACGCAACTTCAGAGCTTTACTTTTGAGGCTCACAGAAAAGATTCTTGGAGCCCCTAACAGTGACTTTCCGAGAAAGGGGTTCATTATGGAAGCTCAAGACCTGGAGGTTCTGGTACAATGACGGGGTGGGGAGAGAGAGAGGAAGAAAAGCTTTCCCACAGGGCTTCCATGGCGCCAGCTTTGACATGGTGGGAGACTACTGTGATTTTGATTTGAGAGAGCTGGTGGAGGGCCTGGGAGGGGAGAAGAAGGGAATTCCAGGTGAAGGAGCATCTCCAGGTAAAGATGACACAGGTAACTGTCACTATGTTTGCAGACCACGTGGAAATCTCTGCTCCCTGCTCGGCTTCCCAGGCGAAGGTGCCAACTGAGTGGGTTTCTGGGAACACAGCTCAGTGCCCTCTCAGCCGCCCCGCCCCACACAGGGCAGGAAAGGGCCGAGGGTGCCTGGGATCTGCAGAGATCCTCCAGAATTATAGGTGGGATGATGGCTCCAAAGCCCTGGAGCCAGGCCCTGAACAGACAGTGCATTCATGGGGAAACCGATCACCCCAGGAAAATGTGGGGGTCAGTGACAAGTGACGGTGGAGGAGGGAATCCCAGATGAGGGCCAGGGTGAGACTTTACTGAGGTGACAAAATCCTAGGTACTTGGGAAGACAGGGAGCAAGAGGGAAGCAGGGGGTGGGGAGGGGAGGAGCAGAGGAGGAGGCTGAAATGATGTTTATCTCTACAAACCACCAGATTCACCTGGAATCACCAAGGTTGTCTTCTGCTGCCAAGCACAAGTGGGTTCTCAAAAGCTAAGTTAGTGATGGAGAAATAAGGAGAATAAAAACTTCACATCGCTGAATCTGAGCCCTGAATATTCCGTTCAGTCAGCCTGGCTCCTTGTCCTGAGCTGGTGACTATTAGCGTTCATTTGTCGTCTGGGGGGTAAGTGAGTGGCAGCATCGTGCCGTCCATGGTCAGGGAGGCCTCATCTGGAAGTCACGTTGACAACTGTGTCGATGGCCGGGAGCTGCCTGTCATGCTTAGCAGGAATTGGAGACTCTGGGATGCTTTACATGTAATAAGAATTCAGCTCAATAGCGTCCCACAAGCTAGTACATTATTGTGAAAAAGGAAGGATGTGATTTGAAATTTTTGTGGGGTATATGCTGATGGTTCTCATTACCCAACTAGGAATTTATTTTGTTTCTGAGAAATTCCTCTTGATGGACATGAAAAGGAGTGTGAGTTCTAAGGGCCAGGAAGGCCAGGGGAGGATAATTCACTTTTATTTCTTCTTATTGTGCGTGGTAAAGAATCCATGTCTCAAGACAAATTATTTTTTAAAAGATTTATTTATTTTGCTTACAGAACTGGGGTATAGGCCAGAGGTGCAGGGGTGGTGAGAGGATTCACAAGTGACAGAGCAGGGAGCAGAACAGACAGATCAATGAGATGCACTGCTGAGGGGAGCAGCGGGCAGGTCAGGAGAGGTCTGCCGCATCCATGTGGGTCAGTTCCCTCGCCGGGGATCGAATTCGTGCTGCAGTGGCTTCAGAGATCTTCATAATGTGGTGTTTTAACCCGTTGCACCACCAGGGAGAGCCCTCAAGATAAATTTTTAAGTGTATTAAGTCCACCATCTTATAACGGTTAAAACTGTAGACCTTCAAATGGTTGAAGAGATGAGTGAATGGAATTGAGTCTCATGTTCCAGGTTACACAGGTTACACAGAAGGTGGGACTGGACACATCTCTCACACGCAGGTTCCCTTTATGCTGTGATGTGCATTCTTGGGTTAGAACTGATTCCTTGGTGATCACTTGTTAAAACCCTCTTCCGGGCCCTTCCTGGTGGCGCAGTGGGTTAAAGCACATCACTAAAAAGCTAACGCCACTTCAGCATGAGTTCGATCCCGGCCCCAGAGGTGACCACATGGCGTGGCAGACCTCTCCTGACCCGCCCGCTGCTCCCCTCAGCAGTGTACTTCGCCGATCTGCCTGCTCTGCTCCCCACTCTGTCTCTGGTGAAGCCTCTCACTGCCCCTGAGCCTCTGGTCTGTACCCCAGCTCTGTATGCATAAAATAAATAGATCTTAAAAAAAAAAAAAAACCCTTCCTCTGTGGTCTTGGGTCTCTTGTCCATCATCATTTTGATGCTGGGCTGCACACATGTGCCTCAAAAGCAGGAGAAACAAGGACAATGCAGACTCTGAAGCCTCAAGGTCTACAAGGTGGACGAGATGGAAGTTGGGGGCCCGTGTCCTGTGGGCTCCATCAGTAGGTGGTGGCCAGAATATCTGGCAGGGTTGGGACCTGGGGGTTGGGTTAGAAGGGAGATATTCCAGGAATTCAAATGGAGAAGATATGCGTGGGGGAAATGCTAACCCCCCAAAATAAAAATAAAAATAAAATATAAAAAATGACTTTCTGAGCACTAGAAGGGATTCCTAAATTATCTGTGAGGAGAATTCTTCTTCAGTCCTAGATGAGAAAGCCTGGAATTTTTCACGGCTCCAATCTGGTCCTCTAAGGGTATTCAGGGCTGTGCCCTGTGTACTAAGCACCTCAGAATAATGCGCAAACTAAGAAACATCGTCTCTCTTCTCCAGAATTGAACACCCCAACAGATAATCAAGTAATAAATATCCATAACAGCATATGCATTTGCAGGGGTTGATCCAAATCTGGAGAAGAGAGACGATGTTTTTTAGTCTTTTCATTATTCTGAGGTGCTTAGTACAGAGGACTCTGCCCTGAATACCCTTAGTGGGACCAGATCAGAGCCTGAGGCTGAAGCACTTTTGTGACCTGATTTATCACACAGAACCTGCGCTACACTAACGCGGGTGAGCGTTTGACAAGTGCAGTGTGTCCTCGCTTGTCCAAAGGCTCTGTGGCCTGGCACGCAGGAACCCAAGGAAAGTGCCCCTTTGTGCCTGGACACTTGGCTGTATTCTGTCAGGGGTGAGGGGGCCGATTTCTTTCTTTAGTAATTGATCCCCTGTGGAGAACCCTAAGTGTAAGTCACTTAACCCTTCAGCCCTGGCTTCATCAGTTGGAGGAATTCCTCCCTCACCTGGCAATCACCTGACGCTAATGAAAAATAAACGTGTCATATGGACCACCCCGGCCTGCCTCTTCCTGGAAAGTTCTCCCCTAGAATAGCCCAAGGTTGAGTCCTGCCAAGCTCCAGCGCCCAGGGGACCCCTCATCCCCAGAATGGCTGCTGTAGAGGCCTCTTCAGCTCAGGACATTGACCATAATTCACTCTCCAGGAAACAGGGCCGGACTTTTGGAATAAACTTAGTGATTTAACAATGATTAAATTGCTAACTGAGGGAGAGATCTGGGAGCATTCTTAGTGCTGATAAGATGTAAACGTATTTCTAGCATAATCTTATTTAGAGAGCAGCCTAAAGATGAGGGAATGTGCATGAAAATTACCTTCCTCAGCTACTTGTAAAGAGCCATGTAGGCAGAGTTTGGGATCCTCTTCTACTGAGAGAGGGGGCAGGCGTGGGTAAGACAAAGAACTGTGGGGCCAGAGGCAGAGGGCCTCTCCACAGCCTGCTCCTAGCCCTGCCCCCACCTCATCTTGCACAGCTCAGATGAACATTCTGGGGGCTGGGGAAAGGTGGACAACTAGGTTTTTCCTCACTTCTACTTTCTACTGTCCTTTCCTTTAACCAAACCTCCCCTTCAGGTCAAGTTTCATCTCTTCAGAGCCCCCCAAATTCTGGAAGCATGGCTCTTGTTTTTGCCCACTTTCCTTGTGGGTTTTGATCAAACAAAAAAGCAATTACAAAACCCAGCCTACTTGGACGAGGTCGGAGTAGGTGTCTTTCCTATTTCCTCACTCCCCTTGCCCCGGTCTCCAGAGCGCCCGGCGGGGGGCTTGGAACTGGATTGTGGAGCGCTCTTGGGAGTCCAGCGGTCACCCGCGCCGGGTTTGGGGGCTGCTTGTGGACTGCGGCTTGTGGGGCGGAAACCCAGGGAACCCTGGGCGCCCACAGCTTGGAGCAGCTGGCTCTGGAGAATTATTGCAAGTCTGCACAACTTAAAATCTGCAGTTTGGGGGCGGGAGGGGGAGCGCGGGGGTGGGTCCCCAAGCGTCCCGCTTCTCCTCCAGGCGGATCGCTGAGCGTTCTCGCTCACTGCAGAGGGGCCGGCGACGCCTTCTGGACCACAGGCCGCGGGGGCTGAGGTCCTGAATTGGCCTTGCACCTTCCACCTCCGCAGGCGGGCTTCCCTCGGACCTCCTCTTTCATCCTACGGAACGGACCCGTCGCGTACCCCTTCCGCTCGGAGCAGATGTCCGCCCGCCACCCTTTCCGACTTGGTAAGTCAAGGCAAGGAGCGCGTCAAACAGTCTGTTCTGCAGCCGCCTGGATCGTCAGGCAGCCGGGCCGGCGGTAAACAGACAGGCGCGGGAGCTCTTTTCCTCCTTCGCACTTTGTTTTGAAACAAGTTGGTGCCTCGCGACTCCCTATGAAACCCCGGCAAATTGCAGATGGTCGCTTGGGCCGCCCGAGCGTCGGGGAAGGTCACGGACCCCGCCGGGCCGCGGGGTGCCCAGCCCGGGAGGGTGCGCGGGAGGGTGGCGCGGGGCGCGCTCCTGCTCTCAGTCTCACCCGGCGCGTGGCTCCCGGGGTGACCCTGCTCGTAGGTCGGCACCGGGCGCTCGCCCCACAGGGCAGCATCCGTCCACCCATCCGTGCGCAGGTCGCGTGGTCCGACCCGGCAGCGGGCAG